GAACAAGGTATGCAAGGACTTTTATGTTGTTGTTGTTGTTAAACAGTGAGAAGTAAAATAACTTACTTAAATAGGAGATAAGAGCTGAATGAGCATCCACTGAAGAAAAGGGGGTATTTTCACCGAACCAGTCTTTTTCCCCATCTCATTTCCATTTGATGTCAATCAAAACATACCATTGGCCATTTAGTTTAAAACATGCAAATGCTTGTGCACATACATCAGTTAATTTATGTATAATAAAGGAGCAGGGAAGGGGAAAATGAAAGAACAGAGAAAACTGTACTGTAATAGTCAGGATGCAGTGGATCCAAATTGCAGTTTTCTAACTGAGAATGTCTTCTTGGCTGGAGGAACAGAGTTCTGGAGTAAATAGCAGGTTCCCTTTTTAGCAGACACCTCCTGTCTGCTGCTGGAACACATCAGTTGTATCTTCATCCACCATTTCCAACTGTGCAGGTGTGTCTGTATCATTGATTGGCTGCCCATCAAATTGGAATCTGATCTGCCTCATTGACAAACCCTGTTGTTCACAATAGGCTTTTGTTAATTTACTAAGTGTGTATGTCTCTTAATCTTAAACCACAGAACCATCCTACCCCACCACCTTCAAATTAATATGACCATTGTTCTCAGTCTTGACTCCTTCTTTGGGCTTTTTGTCAGTCATGGTGAGCACTGGAGTCTTCTCAGCTGTAGCTTCACAAAAGAGGCACCAGGTCCACACCAGATGTGCACACAAGCAGCACCAGGAGTGGCAGAAACTGACAGGCTTTAGATATGGGAAAAGAAGGATTGAGAGAAGTCAAGGATGACTACCAGGTTGCTGTGGAACCTTTAGCAAGGCCCTTTCCTCTCTGGGCCTCTTCTATGAAATGGTTGGAACACCAGATCTTGAACATACTCCATGATTCTGATAAATATTTTGGGAAGAGCATGGGGGCTTGGATGCCCTCTAGTTCTGACCTGGGACTACACTGTCAGAAGTGGGGAGGGGAAACTCTGACCCAGAAAAGGGAACAGAGCCAGAGCTGAGAGTGTAGGATCCTGAGTCAAGACCAAGACTATATTTTAGAGTTGGATGTGGCCTTAAAGACCTTCTAGAACAGTCCATTGAGATAACTATGTGCGATATCTGCAGCCAGTCCCAGTGAGCAGGTGGTGAAGTGAAGGGGAGGAGAAAGCAGCAGGGGCAAAGGCCTGGAGTGGGCCAGGAAAGGTCAGCCTGGCAAGGAGATCCCAGCCAGTCTGAGAGACAGATGGCCTGGGTACCCTTGCCTCAATCTGCTCTACCTCACAACATGACTCCCTCGCCCTCTGTAGAGGGCCTCAGTTTTCCCATCTGCAAGCTTAGGCATCAGCCCAGAAGAAGTAACCTGCCTAAGTTCTCCAGATGGAATCCAGCCCCAAAGTAGACCTGTGAAGCCTCGCCTTCATCATACTCTTCCCTGATTCCTCTCTGTCTTCCTAATCAAATCCGTAGGCCCTCATCTTGGAATTTGAGGCTCTGCTTCACCCACTCTGTCAGAGAGGGCCTCTGGCTTCAGGGGCACTATTAGGAGCCAAGTATGGGATTCTAATGTACTTAACCAGGGTGCTCATGCCCTGGCCTGAGGCATGGGAGGAGAGGATGTTCTTTGCCTAGAGTGACATCTTGTTGTTCCTTGTGCCCTCACTCCTTGGTGTATGGTATGGCTTCAGGTCCTGCCCAATCTCGGCCTCCAAAACGAATGGACTGTTCTAGAAGGTCTTTAAGGCCACATCTAACTCCAAAGTATAGTCTTTGCTGAAGACCAGAAAATACAGGCCCTAAACAGAAACCAGGAGGAAAAGGGGGAGTTGTGGACCCAATGTACCCCAGGGCCTGTTCCCATGCTGAAGCTAATTGTCTTTGTGTCCTTCACAGCTCACTCCATTCCTCTGCAGCTGAGGGCCCTGCTCCTGGGCATGAAGTCCCCAGAATGTCCTGGGGCCAGACCTTTAAAATGCCACTCACTGCTGTGAGCCAAAGATTGGCAAAATTTAACCAAAACTAGATTCAGGAATATCCCTCCTTTTTAGGTCATCAAAAGGGCCAGCACTGGCTCCCTCGTTTGGGGGTGCGTAGGATGGTTAGGAAGGAATCCTATTATTCATCCGGTAAACATTTATTAAGCACCTACTGTATGCCTGATACTAAACTGGGTGATAGAGATATAACAAGGAGACATGACAGACTGAGTCTTTCTTCTCCTGGAGCCCAGAGTTTAAAAACAAGGTTTTTTTTGTGGTTTGTTTGTTTTTTTGTCCTTGACTGTAATTTTTTTTTACTTTTATTTAAAATTTTCTTTTACTTTTTCAATTACATTTGACATACAATATTATATTAGTTTCAGGTGTAAAACCCAGTGATTGGACATTATATAACTAAGTGATCACCCCAATAAATCTTTTTTTAAAGATTTTAAAATTGATTTTTAGAGAGAGAGGAAGGGAGAGGGAGAGAGAGAAACTTCAATGTGAGAGGGAAACATCGATCAGCTGTCTCCTTCATGCCCTCCACCAGGGATCAAAACCACAACTGGGCATGTGCCCTGACCAGAATAAAACCAGCAACCTTTTGGTGCATGGGATGACACCCAACCAACCAACTGAGCCACACCAACCAGGGCAACTCCAATACATCTTGTATCCATCTGACACCATATATAGTTAATTACAATATTGTTGACTATATTTCTTATGCCCCCTCCCATCTTTCAAAAACCTAGTTCTCTACTCCCCCCTCTCCTCCCCCCCAACCACCAGGTTCTCTGTGTAAGACAAGTATTCTTAACTCTTTGTATACACGGATCTGTTTGATGGTCTGGTGAAGCTTATAGAACTTCATAAAATACTATCTTTTAAATGCATAAAATAAAATACCTTTGGTTACAAAAGAAAGTGATTATATGGAAATATAATTATTAAAATATGGCAAAAGCAAATATGTGCTATAATAATATATGTGCTCCTCGTTAATTCACTAAATCATAAGATCCAATGGAGGGTCTAATGACAGTCATGATTTTAAAATAGAGGTTGCATGATATTTCAAAAGATCTGCGACATTATTTTGAACTGCAACCACTATAATGTGATATGAAAAGCTCTGTGATTTCTGTTGGTGACAGTCACAAGTAATTGTGACTAATGTGGCTAGTTACATTCTTTGCTGAAAAAAAAAAGAGCTTAAATTTCAACAAGAGGAGAGTGAAAAATAAAGATGTAATTTTTTTCCCCCATACAAATTCATGGGCCACTCCAAACCCTGTCCCCAGACTCAATTGGAGGTCTGTGAACTGAAATTAAGAACCTTCCTGTCTCTCCTTCCTTCTTAAACAGCTATCGTTTGGAGGGCAGAAGCCTGGGTTTTATTTTGGGTCTTACTGCTGTGTACCATCATGCCAATCAGTTTGCCTCTCTGGGCCATAGTTCCCTCAGTCTGAAATAATGGGAAAAGCAAGAATTGGGACAGGAGACCTTAACTATTAATGTTCTGGGCAATTACTTTATATTCTTTCATTTAATCCTCACAATGATAGTATCAGGTGAGATTTTTATTTATTTATTTTAAAAATAATTCTTTATTGTTGAAAGTATTACATATGTCCCCTTTTTGCCCCAATTGACATCCTCCAACAAGCTCCCACCCCCCGCCCCAGGCCCTCAACGCCCCATTTTCTTTGTCCATGGGCCATGCATATATGCATACAAGGTTCGGGTGAGATTTTTTTTAAATTTAAATTCTTTATTATTTAAGTATTACATATGTCTCCTTTTCCTCCCTTGACCTCTCCCGGCCACTCCCACCCCCAGCACATGGTCTCACCCTCCTACTGTCTGTGTCCATTGGAGATACTCATATACATGCATACACGTCCTTTGGTTGATCTCTTACCTGCTCCGCCCCCGCCCCGCCCCCCCTGCCCTCACCTTTCAGGCGAGATTTTTAAACTGTCTTCCCATTTCACAGATGAACTGAGGCTCCTAGTGAGGTTATCACTTGACCAATGTCTCAGTAAGTAGCAGGGGCTAGTGGGTAACTAGCCACACCCTCATAACCCCTTCCTCCTCCATGGATGAAATTAGGAGCTACACTCATTTTGAGCGATAGAAACCTAGCTCAGAAATCCCTGCAGTGAGGGTAGAGCTATAGGAAATTCCGGCCAGTGTCGTGTCTCTTAACCGGGCAGTGGTTTATACAAAAGGACTTACAGAGTAAGATGTCAAGAAGACAGGATCGCCAGGCTGGTGTGGCTCAGTGATTCAGCATCGACCTATGAACCAGGAGGTCACAGTTAGATTCCCAGTAGGGGGCGTGCAGGAAGCAGCTGATCAATGATTCTCTCTCATCATTGATGTTTCTATCTCCCTCTCCCTTCCTCTCTGAAATCAATAAAATATGTATTAAATAAAAAAAAAAGAAGAAGCCAGCCCTAGCTGGCTTGGCTCAGTGGATAGAGCGTCAGCCTGCGGACTGAAGGGCCCCAAGTTCGATTCCAGTCAAGGGCACATGCCTGGGATTGCGGCTCGGTCCCCAGTAGGGGGCGTGCAGGAGCAGCCGATCAATGATTCTCTCATCATTGCTGTTTCTATCTCTCTCTCCCTCTCTGTAATCAATAAAAATATATTTTTTAAAAGGAAGTCAGGAAATCTGATCATTGGGTGACTCGCGCCAGGCCCCACTTTGGGCTTAGAGTCTGAGTGTTTCCAGCTAGTCTAATAGACCCGCTAAAAGAGGATGATGAGTCCTCATCTTCATCCTCTTAAAGGGTGGGCTTGGCTAATCAGCCAATCAAAGACCCCGAAGGGGCGGGGTTTTCTTCCTCCTGGATCCGGGCCTGGGGGGGGGGGGGGAAGGGGGTAAAAAAAAGTGTTTCCATCTCCAGCCAATCCCAGGGCCGACAGGAGGGCACTCCTCCAATGGGAGCCCGAGGCTGTAAGCGGTGCAGCTAGCGATCCTGCTCGCGCTTCAGCCTGCGGGAGGGATACCTCCTGGGTATTCTCGAGATCCAGCTCTCGGTTCCTGAGATCTTGGAATCTGCTCACACGTGGCTTGTACGGCGGAGGTTGTCCGGTGAGAGGCTGTAACGACCGGGGTGGGAGGGGGGCGTGGGGGAAAGAGGCCGGGCGGGAGCGCGTGAGGGGTGGGGCCTGGGTGAGCTTTTACCTGGGCGGCCTCTCAACCCTAGGTCAGCGGGTTGCGGAGGATCCCGCAGGTAGCAAAGGGAGGGCGAGGGCCCCTGCGACCCCAGACTGCGACTAGGTGAGTACCCTGCGTAGCCCACTGCCCGTGCCCACCTTCCCGCCCCCTCCCCCCAAATCTCTTGGAAAGCCGTTCTGTGCAGGTCTGCAGCTCACATGATCGTCTGCGTCCGTGTCTGTAAGTCTCCTCTCTTTCTGCCCCGCCTTTCCCTCTCGCAGTCTGTCTCTGTCTCCATCTTTCTGTCTGTCTCTATCTTTCTGTTTCTCTCCCTCTCTGAGACATACTAAGCAACCTAGACCTAGAAGGCTGAATCCTGTTAAAACTAGCCATGAGACCTTGAGCCATCTACTTCATGGATGTGGGCCTCAGTTTTCCTCATCTGTCAAATGGAAGTCTAATCATCTCCACCTGAGACAATACTTGTGCATCCCTTTGCCCAATACCCAGCCCCTAGAAAATATTCAATAAATGACGGTTGTGATTGAAAAGAATATTCTCTCTTTTGGTCTTTGGCTTTGTTTACTCCCTGTCTGTCTCTGAGCCTACCCTCATTGGTTCTCTTTCTATGTTATTGTGTTTCCTCTTTCTACCTGTCTCTTTTCCATTCTTAAATAGCTTAAAGGTGCATTGTTTATAGCAATGAGGTTGGCCTAAGAGCAACTGTGAACTTAGCCAAGGGCTCTAGACTGTTCTGTGTGGGAAAAAAAGGAGCCTGGACTTGGGCTGCTTCTGGCTTCATTGAAGAGAGATCCTCTTTGTTCCCCAGCCTCCTGTGTTAATCAGGTAGAGACCCCCTAGGGTGAGGAGCAATTTAAATGAAAAAAGTGGATCAGGCCCTTTATGTTAGTCAACACAAGAAGACCAAGGGTCTCCTAGTTACATCCCCATACAGTCCTTCTGCCCCCTCCCTGAAATCCTTTGACCAGGCCTTCTGGAACTCACCTTCAATTATCAGCAAAATCCCCTCCATTCTCACCCTGGCTTCTGAAGAGTCTTAGTTTTCTTTCCATTCCTTAGAGGTTCTCATACCTGTTGGACCCAACACTCCATTTTTACAGTGTATATTTTGAAATGCCTCTTCACTATTCTGAAATGAAGTGCACAGATAATGGAATCTGTCTACACACATAATCCCCCCAAACCAATATAATGTTCTAAATGTAATATAAATGAGAAGTAAAGGAAGAGCAATTTATAATAAAACAGTATGTATTTTAATAAGTAAAGCCTGGGATGTAATTCTATTAGAAGTCATAATGAAATGGTCTTGCATATAATGATACTTAAGCCTGGGAATGTGACAGCTACATACATGTGTGTTGATTGATGACTCAGAAACCGCAGGTAGGATGATGCAGTTTTCCTAGATGATGAGCAATTCTTCATAAAGTTCTAAACAAAACATAGTGCAGTCTTCCCTCAATTTATGTAGTTGTAGAATTTCTGGAACAGTCAGTATGCTAGTATATTAGAATCTATGATGTGGCCTTCATAACCTCTCTGGGCTTATATCCTACCACTCTCCCCACTTGCTCTCTCTATGCCACCCATCCTTGCCTTCTTTATGCTACTTGAACATATTAGGCTCACTTCCACCTCAGGGGTTTGTACTGGGCCATCACCTGTACCTAGAATGCTTTTCTTGCACACGACTCATGCCCTCACTTCCTTCAGGTCTCTATTCAGATGTCACTTTCTCAATGAGGCCTACCCTGACCATCCTTTTTATTTTATCTTTTATTTTTTTAAAAATATGCTTTTTATTGATTTTAGGGAGAGAGAGATAGAAATATCAATGAGAGAAAACCATCGATCGGCTGACACCTGTATACCCGATACTGGGGATCAAGCCTGCAACCCGGGCATGTGCTCTGACAGGGAATCGAACCGAGACGTCTTCATTCATGGGTCGACACTGAACCCCTGAGTCACATCGGCCGGGCCTGACCATCCTTTTTAAAATTGCAGCTCTCCACTAGCACACACCTGATCTATTTTTCTCATAGTGTTCCTCACCCTCTTACAGAATATAAAATTCACATTTTTTTTTATGTCTGACTCTCCCACTCAATTGTAAGGTCTAGAAGGGCAGACATTGCCTGACCGGTTTGGCTCAGTGGATAGAGTGTCGGCCTGCGGACTGAAAGGTCCCAGGTTCGATTCTGGTCAAGGGCATGTACCTTGGCTGCGGGCACATCCCCAGTAGGGGGTGTGCAGGGGGCAGCTGATCGATGTTTCTCTCTCATTGATATTTCTAACTCTCTATCTCTCTCCCTTCCTCTCTGTAAAAAATCAATAAAATATATTAAAAAAAATAGAAGGGCAGATGTGTGTGTGTGTGTGTGTGTGTGTGTGTGTGTGTGTGTGTGTGTGTGTGCGCGCGCACCCTGATGCATCCCTATTACCTGGCACATAGTAGGCTCCCTTAGTAAATGTTGAATGACTAAGTAAATGAATGAATAACCAGGCTTTTTACCTACATGGTTGTCTGGTGGGACATTCTAAAGTTGTATGGAATGTGGTTCAATTCTTTGCTGTGTGGAGCTATTTTGTGCAGCTGAGCATCCCTGGTCCATGCCCACTAAATGTCACCAGTGATCTCCAACTATCGTGACAATAAAAAATGCCCCCAAACACCCCTTGATTGTCCAGACCCCCGCCACTGAGAACCACTGCTTGAATAGAAATCTAGCTTTCCCCTGAGCTCTTTGCTCCTCCAGCAGCTCCTGCATAGCCCTCTTACCAGGAGGTCAGGAGATGGGGGTAGGTGTCCTCACTCTAACTGCCCTTCCCAGACACTTTCTTTTCCTCCTCCTTAAACTACTTTTTAAATCCTCACCTGATGCCAAACCGGTTTGGCTCAGTGGATAGAGCGTTGGCCTGTGGACTGAAGGGTCCCAGGTTCGATTCCAGTCGAGGGCATGTTCCTTGGTTGCGGGCACATCCCCAATGGGAGGTGTGCAGGAGGCAGCTGGTCATTGTTTCTCTCACATCGATGTTTCTGACTCTCTGTCCCTCTCCCTTCCTCTCTGTGGAAAATCAATGGGATATATTAAAAAAAAAAAAAACAAAAAAAAACCCTCACCTGACGATATTTTTTTCCATTGATTTTTAGAGAGAGTGGAAGGGATGGTCTTATTGTTGAGTTGTAAGAATTCTTTTTTAAAAAATATGTTTTTATTGATTTCAGAGAGGAAGGGAAAGAGAGATAGAAACGTCAATGATTAGAGAGAACCACTGATCATCTTCCTCCTACATGCCCCCCACTGGGGATAGAGCCCACAACCCTGGGCATGTGCCCTGACCGGGAATTGAACCGTGACCTCCTGGTTCATAGGTCGGTGCTCAACCACTGAGCCATTCCAGCCGGACAGGTTGTAAGAATTCTTTATGTATTTTAGAGACAAGTCCCTTATCAGATATATAAAATGCAAATCTTTTCTCTTTCTCTGGGTTGACTTTTCACCTTCTTGATGGAGTTCTTTGATGCATAAAAGTTTTAAATTTTGAAGTCAATTTATATATATTTTTTCTTTCTTTTTTAATCCTTACCCGAGGAAATTAGAGAGAGGAAGGGAAAGAGTGAAACCTCGATGTTAGAAACATCAATCAGTTGCCTTCCCTATGCTCCCCAACTGGGGATCAAACCCACAACGCCCTGACCAGGAATTGAACCGGCAACCTTTTGGTGCACAGGACTATGCTCAACCAACTGAGCCACTCTGGCCAGGCCATACCTATTTTTCTTTTGTCACTTGACTTTTTCATGTCATATCTAAGGAACCAGTCAATAACCCAAGGTCACAAAGATTTATTCCTGTGCTTTCTTCCAGGAGTTATATGATTTTTAGCTCTTGCATTTAGGTTGATGACCCATTTTGAGTTAATTTTTGTGTGTGGTGAGGTAGGGGTCCAAATTTTATTCTTCTGCATGTGAATATCTAGTTGTCCCAGTACTTTTTGTTGAAAAGAGTATTCTGTCCGTCCCCTTGAATTGTCTTGGCAACCTTGTGAAAAATCAATTGACCATAAATAATAAATTTAAAGGTTCATTTCTGGACTCTGAATTCTAATCTATTGATCTATGTCTGTCATTATGCCAGACTACACTGTGTTGATTACTATAGTTGCATATAGTAAGTTTTGAAAACAGGCATTGGAATCTTCAACCTTTGTTCTTTTTCAAGATTGTTTTGGCTCTTCTAAGTCCCTTGCATTTCTATATAGATTTTAGGATCAGTTTGCCATGTTTTTGCAGAAAATCAGCTAGAATTTTTATAGGGATTGTGTTGAATCTATATATCAATTAGGAATTATTGCCATTTAACAATATTGTGTCTTCCTGTTTGTGAATATGAGAAGTCTTTCCATTTAGATTGTCTTTAATTTCTTTTGGAAGTGTTTTCAGTATATAAGTTTTTCACTTTTGTTAAATTTATGCCTAAGTATTTTATTTTTGCTGCTATTATAAATGGGATTATTTTCTTAATTTCACTTGCTGATTATTCATTGCTAATGTGTAGAGATACAATTGATTTTTATTTATTGATCTTCTATTCTGCCACATTGCTGAACTTGTTTATTAGTTCAAATAGTTTTTTAGTAGATTCCTGAGGATTTACTGTATATTAGATCATGTGATCTACAAATATAGTTTTACATTTTCTTTCCAATCTGGATGCTTAAAAAAAATTTTATTGATTGATTTTATTTTTGTAATATATTTTTATTGATTTCAGAGAGGAAGGGAGAGGGAGAGAGAGAAACATCAATGATGAGAATCATTGATTGGCTGCCTCCTGCATGCCCCCTCCTGAGGATCAAGCCCCTAACCAAGGTGTGTGCTCTTGACCAGAATCGAACCTGGGACCCTTCAATCCCCAGGCCACCGCTCTATCCACTGAGCCAAACCGGCTAGGGCTATTTATTGATTTTAGAGAGTGAGGAAGGGGGAGAGAGAAAGAGAGAGAGGGAAAGAGGGAGGGACAGAGGGAGAGAGAGAGAGAGAGAGAGAGGGAAAGAGGGAGGGACAGAGGGGGAGGAGAGAGAGAGAGAGAGAG